TGTTAAACACGGTAAAAATGAAATTAATGCAAGAATGTGAGATGATGTGGAGGACTGATAGCATGGAAAAGCAGAGGAAATAGCCAATGAATTAATTATAGACATTGAAAAGCACATGAAATATTAGGCAAGAAGTCTTCAAATGTTACAAAGCAAATAAAAATAGAGACAACATATCCCACAGGATCTGGAGAGGCAGGGAGGTGGTTTATGCAAAGATCATTAAACTGAGATCTGAATTCTAGTCTTTAACACTCCCTAAGTTAGTGTGGGCAAGGAAGGAAGGGAGAGAGAGGGAGGGCAGGGGGAGGAGAGGAAGGAAGGAAGGAAAGAAGGAAGAGAAGGATGGAGGGAGAGAGGGAAGGACAAGGGAAGGGCCCTTGGAGGAAGGGTCACCAGTGGTTTATCCCAGTCTAGGGGTTGTCCAGACACTCCACAGGAGACATCGGCGGGGGCGAGCCAATGCAGGGACGCAGCGGAACAAGTTCCTGCGCAGCACTTCCCTGGGCAAGCGGTCCGTGTTCTGGAGAGTTCTGTGCCGGACCGTGAGGTGCCCTGTGACAGCAACGGTCCCGGTGAGTCACCCTTCCCACAGTCTGTGCAGGGCAGCCCCTCCTATATTGACTCTGGACGTGCCCTTGGGTTTGCCCCAGCCAGCAGGCCACCAGCGCATGAGCTGTGACACCCTGGAACGTGTCCTCTTGAAACGCCGCTGCTGCCGGCGGAGAAGTTCACTGGACCCCATGAGACTCAGAGGCCGCACGCCTGCCCCAGGGTCCGGCTGCCCCAAAGTGTGAGCTGGTGCCAGGCCAGCAGAGAACCCTCCCGCCCACGGACCCACAGACCCGTGCAGATGCTAAAGGTTATTGTTTGAAGTCACTACATGCTTGGTGTTTGTTAAGCAGCAAGAGATATCTGATACAATCTGGAAAGATCAGACCAGAGGACTGAAACTTTCTCATTAAGAAAACGTTACTAAAATCCTAGAGCCGTGAAATCTTAGTATGTGTTCAGCCTCACTGACAACCCGGACTGCCGCTGTGACTGCCTCATGAATTTCCCCCTCAACCACCAAAAAGTTATAGGCAGGAGGAGAGGTGGAAGATGAGTTCTCTGATAGCCATCGGAATTTCGAGATGCCCCAGCTTGTAATCTATCTTCTCCTGAATGCTCACAACTTTGTCCCTGTGACCTCTGTCGTAGGTATATGTTCAACCTCTTTCTTAAAATTATTTTAACTGTTTTTGTTCGTGACGGCTCCCCCTCTTAGGTATCTGCTCATTTGTCATCAGGGACTGTTCCATTACTCCCCACCCCCAATGACACAGGTTTACCAAATGTTTGACAAGCCAGCAGATGCAACCATTTACCTCCCCTTCACTTTGGCAATGGAAACTCAGAGCTGTAAGTTCTAACATGTTATCTGAAAAGGAAGAGAGGAAAAAGAAGGAAGAGAAGGAGGACCACGTGAGGGGGTTTCTTCTTAATGCAAATATCCTAGAAGAGTTCCCTCCATTCTGTCGAAATTTTTTGCCCTACCGACAGAAAGTTTCATTATAAAAATATGTAACTCTTAGGAAATATTATGAGTTTAATAAAACAGAATTCCATTCCAATGACAGTATTAAGTTGGATCAAGATGAAAACTAAAAAAAAAAAACAAAAAACAAAAGCATTCTCTCTCGAGAGCCGTCAGGCTACAATAAGAGCTCCATCAAGGGAATCTGTGTTGTTTGCCTTGATTTGTGTACCCAGAAATCTGTCTTTGTGAGTCAATTCTTCATTGGGTGTGAGGGAAATAAAATACACAAAATGCACAAGTCTATCTGAAGGAATTTATAATCTAGTTGGAGAACCAACATCAATGAAACAGTTGAATAATAATTCAAGATGGTGCATTCCTAAAATTGCAAAACTGATTATGTAAATACTAATCCTTCTGGGTCAGGAAATGCCAAGTATTTCAAAACAATAGTTACTCACAAGCGTGTCATTCACATTGTAGGGATAAAAGATTTACGTCATTCATTGCATGTAATGAATAATAATTTGAAAAATAATACAATGGTAAGGGGAAATAAAATCAAGGCAAATGACTCTGTGGTGGGATAATAATATAATCACCCTGACCTTATCCCTTCCTTTTCATACGAACAGCATCTCAAGTCAGAACATTCAAACTACTGAGCCATTCCTGGAGTTAAGATAATCCCTCAAAACATACTGATGAGTTCTTAGGCTGCAAAGCTACTTAACCTTAATTTCCAAAAATAAGCTTACCAGACTGTTCAGGGAGGTACTGATTCTCTGTGGGCAGGCCACAATTCAGATTCATTCAGCTCTTAAACACACATGGATTAAATATCGACTCTGCCTCACAGCCTGGGCTAGGCTCTGGGAGTGCAAAAATAATGAGACAAAATGCCAGCCACGCCATGCACACAGGTGGAAGGGCAGGGTGACAAAGGCAGCAGGTGTGGGGAGGGGGGCCTTGGACGAGGGTGGGAAGACCTGGGTCCCAGCCCTGGTCCACCACCACCCACTCTGCTGCGTAAACCAGGCAGACCATTTGATGATGCTGTTCAGTCGCTAAGTCGTGTCTGACTCTTTGCAACCCCATGGACCGAAGCACGCCAGGCTTCCCGGTCCTTCACTAACTCCTGGAAAAGTGAAAGTGAAGTTGCTCAGTAGTGTCTGACTCTTTGAGACACCATGGACTGTAGCCCACCAGGCTCCTCTGTCCATGGGATTTTTCCAGGCAAGAGTACTGGAGTGGGTTGCCATTTCCTTCTCCAGGGGATCTTCCTGACCCAGGAATTGAACCCGGGTCTCCCGCATTGTAGGCGAACACTTTACCGTCTGAGCTACCAGGGAAGCCACTAACTCCCCGAGTTTGCTCAAATTCATTTCCATTGATTCTGTGATGCCATCTCATTTCTGCCACCCCCTTCTCCTCCTGCCTTCAGTCTTTCCCTTCATTAGGGTCTTTTCCAATGAGTCGGCTCTTCACATCAGGTGGCCAAAGTATTGGAGCTTCAGTTTCAGCATCAGTGCTTCCAACGAATATTCAGAGTTGATTTCCTTTAGGATTAACTGGTTTGATCTGCTTGCAGTCCAAGGGACTCTCAAGAGTCTTCTCCAACACCACTGTTTCAAGGCATCAATTCTTCAGCACTCAGCCTACTTTATAGTCCAACTCTCACATTCGTACATGACTTTTGGAAAAACCATAGGACTTCTGTTGGCAAAGTGACATCTCTGCTTTTTAATATGCTGTCTAGGTCTGTCATAGCTTTCCTTCTAAAGAGCAAGCATCTTTGAGTTTCATGGCTGCAGTCACTGTGCGCAGTTATTTTGGAGCCCAAGAAAATAAAATCTGTCACTACTTCCACTTTTTCTCCTTCATGGATCACAGCCTTGTTGTGGTGAAGGGGCTTGCATGACTCAATGAAGCTATGAATGATGCTGCTCAGGGCCACCCAAGACAGGTCATAGGGAAGAGTTCTGACAAAACGTGGTCCACTGGAGGAGGAAATGGCAACCCACTCCAGCATTCTTGCCTGGAGAATCCCATGAACAGTATGAAAAAACAAGCCACGGAATTGCCCTGAACCCAAGTGTCCCCATTTGTGAGTTAAAATAGAAAGGTCTAGCTCACAAAACACATTGGGAGGACTGAACAAAATAATAGCTTGAAAATGCTTTGAAATGTTGATCTGTACGGATATATGGGGTCACAATGACTTAGAGTACATTCAGTTGAGTTCAGTTCAGTTCCGTCGCTCAGTCGTGTCCGACTCTTTGCAACCCCATGAACCATAGCACGCCAGGCCTTCCTGTCCATCACCAACTCCCAGAGTTTACCCAAACTCATGTCCATTGAGTCGGTGATGCCATCTAACCATCTCATCCTCTGCCATCCCCTTCTCTTCCTGCCTTCAATCTTTCCCAACATCAGGGTCTTTTCAAATGAGTCAGCTCTTCACAGCAGGTGGCCAAAATATTGGAGCTTCAGCTTCAACATCAGTCCTTCCAATGAACACCCAGCACTGATTTCCTTTAGGATGGACTGGTTGGATCTCCTTGCAGTCCAAGGGACTCTCAAGAGTCTTCTCCAACACCACAGTTCAAAAACATCAATTCTTTGGTGCTCAGCTTAGAGGGCTAGAAACCATTTCTATCTGACCATTAAGTGTCATCTTTTTAGTGACATACGTTATTTCCTTGGAGTCTCACTAGGAAATAGTATTTAAAGAATAAAACAATAGGAGTTGAGTCTTTTGTTCCCGGGCATTTGATTAGACTTTTTTTTTTTTGGCTCTGCTGGGTCTCAGTTGCAGCATCGGGATCTTTCAGGGTGGTGCAGTGCTCGGGCTGTCATTGTGGTTCTTGAACTTAGTTGATCCACAGTATGCAAGATCTTAGTTCCCTGACCAGGGATCGAACCTGTGTCCCTTGCATTGCAAAGCACATTCTAAACCACTGGACCACCAGGGAAGTTCCTGATTAGACTTTTTACTCAGCCGGTTTTGGAGGGCTGCTCACCACACAGCAAAACTAGCAAATCAAACTCATGCTTGCAAGCCCAGTATTGACCAGAAATCCCTCCTTTTCGATTAAAAACTCAGAGTAATTTCTGGATGTCAGATGCATTTTCCCCCCTCTTGTCTGTGAACCCCTCCCCTACTCGGAAGGAGTGCAGACTTGAGGCTCCACAGGTAGCACCAGAAGGAAGAAAGCTCACTTAAGAACTCATAAAAAATCACCTCTGTTCTCTTTATTCTTTTGATTTGATTCCTTTGCTCCATGTCCTCCTGCCTCCTCCCCATGCAGAATTTGACCCAAGGAAACACTGAGAATTGACTGGCGGCTCCATCAGTACCTGCTTATTGCAGTGAAGAAGGTCATGGCCCCAGGTTTGCTTTCTCCAGAGGGGCTGGGAAGCTTGCAGCACCTGCTGGGAGGTGCTGGGAGCACTGGGAGCGGCCAGCAGAAACGGGATGGGGGCCTGTGCGCACCGCTGGCCACAAGGCATGCAGTCCCGAAGGCGGCTTCCGTCTGCTCTTCATCAACAGACAGAGGTGCGTATGTTGGAAGAGAAACATAGGTGATGGTTTCCTTCATTCTCACTCCTGAACTCAGTAAGGTGAATGATCTGGTTAACACAGTATAATAACTCTGTAAAGACCATGAGTCAGAAACTCTGTTTTTACCACTAAAGCTCTGTGGTGGGGAACCTCGCTTTTACCCCATTTTTTTCAGCTGCAAAATGATGTCCAGGTAACGTCCAAATTCTTTCCAGCCCTAAAAACTGGGTGATGTGCTGTTTTAATGAGGACAGAGGCATAGCATTTACTCCCAGGGAGGGTTCCCAGGGTGGCTATATAAACTCTATGCATACAGATTCTTTTCTCCAAAGGGAGCCTGTCCATGTTCATATTTCCCTATTTATAAGGCATGATCTGTCATTTATTGGCCATAACCTTCCATTATACTGGATGCTATACGAGTGTCCTTGTTAAAATACTGACATACCAATAAAACTCACTCTCTGTCTCAAACTTAAACAACAGCATTCACGTTGAGGCCATAATCTGGCTCTTATTTAAACATACACTTAGAGGAAGAGGTGAAGTGTCTTACTTTACCCCAGGGTAGAGTCAAGACTGCTTCCAGTTAAAGAAGAGTCTTCAGGCAAACAGAGTGTAATAAGCGAGATGGTTCTAGAGGGCAGAACTGAAGGACTGCCTCCAGGAAAGGCAAGGAAGTGACGGGGAATGCCTGGAGCCTGGGTGTGCGTTTGGGGTGGTGGGGGGTGGTGATTTCAAAGAGCAAAGCTCTGGCCTCAACTAAAACGCCAGAGGGGACATCTGGGTTTCACAAACACAAACTGGGAATGGAAGGAAAGGTGGTGATAAGCCAGACCCCTGGGTCTCACACCCTGCATTTATGAAATGAGAGGCTGTCCATTCAGGATCAGAACCAAGGTGAACATCGGCTCCATGTTTATTTCAGTAAAGTCAAGAGGCTGTGTTTGGGCTTCCCAGTAGCTCAACGGTAAAGAATTTGCCTGCCAATTCAGGAGACACAAGAGATGAGGGTTGATGCCTGGGTTGGGAAGATTCCCTGGAGGAGGTCATGGCAACCCACTCCAGTATTCTTGCCGGGAGAATTCCATGGACGGAGGAGCCTGGCGTGCTACAGTCCTTCGGGTCACAAAGAGTCAGACGTGACTTGGCAATTGAGCATGCACACCACACAGGGCCTATAGTATAACTCTTCAAAATCTCCCATATCAACCTCCCACATATTTTAGTGGTTTCACCTTTGGCCACATTAGGACCTGCTAGCATGCTTTGGTGGAGAAGGAAATGGCAACCCACTTCAGTGTTCTTGCCTGGAGAATCCCAGGGACGGGGGAGCCTGGTGGGCTGCCAGCTATAGGGTCACACAGAGTCGGACATGACTGAAGTGACTTAGCAGCAGCAGCAGCATGCTTTGGGGAAATGTCTGTGCTCCATCTCAATCTCAACAAAATAACTCCTGAGGAGGGGGGGATCAAAGGGGTAAACTTTAAACCTCCCTCAGGTTATTGTAAGCTGTACTTAAGAACGACTTCTGGAGTCACCAGCAGTAAACTTTTTATAAAACTAAAATGAAATCGTGTACTTTTTGAAAAGATGGCACGAAAGACAGAAGTTAGGAAATACCTGATTTTGAACCTAGTCCAAACAAGAGATGAGACTTTGGTTTCATTTGCACTAGGAGACCTAGTCCAAGCTGCCTGAGAAGATCTGAGGATACCGGGATGCTGGTAAGGGCTTTTAACAGAACTTCAAGAGCAAGATAGCTGGTGATACACCTCATAGGTGTTCCTGACTTGCCAGTGGCCAGCAGGAGAGGTTCAGCACCATCCCCCGGCAAGGTGTGGTGGCCCAGACCTCACACTCAAAAGGCACGTGAAGGCGGGTAACCCTCTCACAACACATCCTGGATCACTGGGTGGGGAGATGTTTCCCACCAGGAGCGTGGCCCAAAGGCAGACATTAGAAGTGATGAGAGACTCATAGTTAAGTCACAGAGTCACTGATGTGGGATCAGTCCTAGCAAGTTCATGATTGCAAGGAGGCAGAAACATACACGCGGCTACTGTACAAGGCAGTGCTGCCTCCAATGGGGTCGGCTGTCTGCTCCCTCCATGTCTGGCTTCACCACGACCAGCCTGGTACCCAGCAAGCGCTCATTAAATGCCTCTGGGGACTGTGTTAAACTGACTTGGTAGTTCTTCAACTGCTTCACCGGGGAGTGTTAGGGTTCCCTCTGAGCCGGCGCCAGCAGCCGGCCAGGTTAAATGACACTCCAGCCAGAAACACCCTACAGGCCATTCAGTTAATAAGCACTGGGAACCAAACCCAACCAGAAATTCTGCCCTGATGGGATCCTTAGAATAGCTCTCAAATAGCTACTCGGAGGGCCTGGCTTCCGCCCCCAGGTTCTACCTCTCCAGTATCTTCCGAGGTCCGGAGAGGTTTCATTTTTGAAAGGAGCACGTTAGGTAGGCTGTGTAGACAGGTCTACACTGGCTGTTTGCCTCATCTCTCCCTGACACCTGCGACCAGGTTGGGGGGAAGGGTGGTGGTGGTGGTCACGACAGCAGGCTCCTTGCTGCACACATTCTGAACGGTCCTCTGAATGCAAAATGCCCTCGGACGAGTCCACCCTGCCTCCAATGAGCTGTCCTCCCAGATTGCCTTCTCTGGCCGCGGCTCCTCCCCCTGGGCGCCACCCAGACCTGTGCTGTCCCCGCGCGCAGTTCACCGTCTGGCTTCACTGTCTTGCCTTCTCCCCTTCTCGGCACTTCTTTCATTTTCTCTGCCCCCCCCTCCCCCCCCCCCCCCCCCCCCCCCCCCGCCCGGAGCGACCGTCTCCAGTCTTCAGCTTTCCAGCCTTTCTCCTCCGGGTCCTGGCCTCCTACGAAGCCACACCCTTGCGGACCAGCGCCCTGGAGGAGTTTGATAATTGACTTAAGGTCAACAAAAGGAAAAAAGTGAGCTCGAGACGCTGGAGCACAGGCTCGTCCGGCGGAGCTGAGAAGGGCCCCCGGCCCCGGGCCCCACCTGCCGGGACAACCGGCCGGACCCCCGCCCGGCCCGCAGGGCGCACGGAGGGACGCGCCGGCGGCCGCAGGTGCGGGCGGGCTGGGGGGCTGGCAGGGGGCCGGGGGAAGGCCCTCGGGCCGCGTCTCGGCCGCGCGTCTATGCAGCGGGCCGCGCCCTCCCGGCCCTTGGCGCCCGGCGGCCCGGCCCCGCGCCGGCGGGAGGCGGGAGGCGGGAGGGGCGGCCAGCGCGGTGTCTCCCCGCGGGTGGCGGTTCCGCGCTCCTCCGCCCGGCGGGCTCAGCTGCGGGCGGCCGGGTGTCCGGTGTCGGGTGTCCGGTGTCGCCGCGCCGGCAGGAGAGCGGCGGCGCAGACAGCCGGCCGTGGTCGCGGTGAGGGGCGCGCGGGGCCGCGGGGCGCGCGAGCAAGTTCCGGGCCGGGCCCCTCGGGGGGCGCCCCGGGCTGCGGGGCAGGGAGGGAGCGCCTGGGGGTAGCGGGCGGGGAAGGCGGCGCGCCAGGCGCTCCGGGCGCCGGGGGGCGGTCCCCGATCCCATCCCGTGGGCTCAGGGTGCGCTGGGCGGCCGCGCGGGGCCGTGGTGGGCGCGCCGCCCCCCGGAAGGCGGGCTCCGACGGTGGCCGCAGGCAGTCGCGCGGTGACCTTCCCCCGCCCTAGGGTTCGCAAGGGCGCCCTTGGGGTGGCGCCGGTGGCTTCGGGGAGTCGCTGTGCCGGTTCGCTCAGAGTGTCTTTCTCTCCCCAAGAGTCAAAGGAAAGAGGCGACAGAGCGCCCCTTTCTTTCTAAACCTAAGAGTCTGCTCAACCCTAAAAGCTTGGTTGCATGCCTGCTTCAGAGAAACAACGACTTGGATACAGGGTTGTTCGTTTTTTTTTCAGTGAAGAAGTAAGTAGAGTCGATGAAAGCATAGATCTGGCATGAGTGAGATCTCTAGATAAACCTGTGTGCAGTGATTTCAAATTTCTGAAGAGTGGTACAAAATCTTTACAGAATTTACCAAATTGATGTCGCCCCTTCCAATTTATTTTATCCTGAGATAACCTTTGTGCGGATAGGTTAATAACGCAAAGTTGAATAACTGGAAGTCTGAAAACAGCTGGCTGTTTGAAAAGAATTAAATTCAAATGATAATCTTACCATTAAAGTTGTAGTGTCCATATCAGAATATTTATATGATTAATTAGGCTGGGGTTTTTTGTTTTTTTTTTGGTGCTCAGCCGTGTCAGACTCTTTGTGACCCCATGGACTGTATGGACCCCCTAGGTGTGACCCCATGGACCCCCTAGGCTTCTCTAGCCAGGGAATTTTCTAGACAAGGATACTGGAGTGGGTTACCATTTCCTTCTCCAGGGGATCTTCCGGACCCAGGGATCAAACCTGGCTCTCTTGCATTTCCTGCATTGGCAGGCAGATTCTTTACCACTGCACCATCTTTTGGGGTAAGGTCTCAGAGTCATTAAAAATACAAAAAGTCCTCTTTTTTAAAAAAAATCATTGTTTAGAGGACAGTGGCCCTAAACCCCAGAAAAGTATGAGAAAGTATGAGAGCCAGGCCACACCTATGGGAGTCCTGGAAGACAACTGTGACCCATTAGGAATTTTTTTTGGAAAAAGTAGCAGACGTGGACGTGTTGCTTGTCATTTTTGTCTTTTAAGAAAAGTGTTGCACAAAAGTACTGAGTTAGCCCAGCTTTCCTCTTTCCTGGATCTTGAATGGGGGGAGCCGTCTGCACTCTGTACCGGACCCAGTGGCAGCGCTGATTGTCAGGGGGTACGATAGGGGAAATCCTGATCAGTCGATTTCCTCCTTTCTGCTTCCTCCACCCTGGTTCCACTCGCCTCAGTAAGTCCCCGCTAGATGGTGTGGCCCAGACCTCAGGTTACAGAGTCACAGTTCAGGCTCCTTTCACGGTGAGGAAAGCCAGCGTGGGTACGTGAAGTGACACCCAGCCCAGCCCAGGCAGGGCCGGCCTCCCGGGCGCGCTGGCGCTGTGTTTGAGGACGGAGCTAGTTCATACCTGCGCGGCTGCAGCGTCAGCGTGGCATGCAGTGCTTGTATTTCAGCAGCCTCACCCCTCAAGATTCTTGTCAGCTGGGTCCCCAAGTTTTCTTTGAGGACGGGGGAAGCCAGTGTCTTTCCCTGAAGGTCCACTAATGACCTTTAATGCAAAAAAAAAAAAAAAGCATGTTTGGGGGAAACCGCACAAGACTGAAGCTGTGAGAGCTTGGACCTGTGGTCCCTGCAGTGCAGAGCCGCCCTTTCCCCCTGGTCTGTCCCCGCTGCTCCCAGGGGCTGTGGATGGAGCTGCGGGTGGATGCTGTGTAGACTGAGTGCTCCGTGTGAACGCCATGAACCCTGCGTGTCGGTCACTTCCCGCTGTCCTTCCTGGGGTGGGGGCTTTCCCATACCTGCCCTCCCCTAAGGCCACCTGCACTTGCAGAGATGAGGCGTCTGCCCCCCACCCCGACCCCGAGAGGGTCGACCCTGCCTCACGCACTTTGGGTTCAGCATTTCTGCTGCTGCCAGAACTTGCTTCTGAAACATCACCTGCAGTTCCCCATCCCAGTAGATGCTCTGATTCTGAAAGGTGAAAGTTAAAATTGCTCAGTCCGTGTCCAGCTGTTTGCAACCCCATGGACTATACAGTCCATGGCATTCTCCAGGCCAGAATACTGGAGTGAGTAACCTTCCCCTTCTCCAGGGGATCTTCCCAACTCAGGGATCAAACCCAGGTCTCCTGCATTGCAGGCGAAGTCTTTACCAGCTGAGCCAAAGGGGAAGCCCAGGAATACTGGAGTGGGTAGCCTATCCCTTCTTCAGGGCAACTTCCCGACCCAGGGATCGAACCGGGGTCTCGTGCATTACAGGAGGAGTCTTTACCCACTGAGCTACCAGGAAAGCCTGATTCTGGGCTCCCAGCAAACTCCACGCCCCTGACTTGGAGCCAGACCTCCAGGCACACCCCCTCCATCGTCTTGTAGGAAATGGGGATGGTGAGGGACTGAACTCCAAGGTTGTGATGAAGATTCGTTAGTTACTGCCTTCACTGCTCAAGGTCATAGCTGTGGCTGGGGTCAGCATCCGAGACCAGGACTGCGCCAGGTGGAGAGAGGAGAGTGGATTCAGCCCTTTCAGGGTTTTCCTGTTTAGGTGCTGCCCGCCTTGTCCCTGTTGCTGGGAGTCGCCCAATTCCAGACTGGAATAGAGCGTAAGCCTCCAGCTTCCCTGGGCAGCTCCTCTCCCCGGTGTTTTATTTTTGTGAAAGTCAACCCTTGGTTAAGAAATGTCCCAGCATAAGGACCTTTACCGGAATGTCACATATAGCTTTTATTATGTTGAGGTATGTTCCTTTGGAATGTCAAGGACTCATTCACTTTGGTTTCTTAGCACTTGATCTAAGCACTGGAGTCCAGTGAGCTGAGGACTTACCTTCTTCCTGCGGTTCTGACACCTACAGACAAGAGCTCAGCCTCTGGAAACCCCCCTCGAGTGTAGATTTAGTTGAGCCCCTCTCCTGGAGACCCCAGAGTCAGGAAAGCATCACAGGACATCAGTGGTCTGACCATTAGGGCCTTTGAGGGTCACCTCAAAGCAAAATACAAAGCTAGCCAGGAAGCCTGGGGCGGGCGAGGCTGACTGAGTTAGAGTCGGACGGTGCCTTTAATTCTTTTAAAAATTTCTCTTAACACTGGGTCCATTTGAGCCCTGGGATTTGAATGCTACAGATGGTGGGATGCAGATAGCGGGGGTCGTGGTAGCCTCAGTAAAGGTCCCTGCTACACCAGGACTCGAGAGTGAATGGCACCATATGTTGTTGGTACGCAAACCACCCTGGGTACCCTGGCTGTTGGGCTGTTGCTCCTGCTTCTCTGAAAAAGCTGGTGTAAATGGAGAAACAGCTGCGCAAGAGGCGGAGCAGGAGTGAAGCTGCAGGGGCCTCCCAGGCGTGAGAGGAGCACGACAGCCTGCCTGGGAGTGACCGGGAGACGGGCCGGGACTGACCGGCCATGGGCCTAGGAGGGCCGCTGTGTGGCTGAGGGACCGGCCTGAAGCTTAAGAGCCTCTGAACTGAGTTTGGAGAAAGAAGATATTTCAGAGGGCGTGGCCAGATGGTGGGATTGTTAGTCCGTTTCTTAGAACATACATAATCCTAAAGAGTTTAAATAAATAAGCTTTTTGTGCATATCTTATTATATTGGAACAAAATAAACATCTGTCCCCCCCCCAATGGAAATGTGTACATAATTTCCTTCTAATGACAAAAATATGAAGGTTTGCTACATTTTTGAAAAAGACCAAATGGAAAGGTGTGAAGTAGAACACACCTGCTGTGGAGTATGTACCCCCGTGAACCCGCTTATGTTCTCAGGCCCAAGGCTCCTCCCTCTGAGAAACTGTCTTACAGAGCGAGGACCCTTTGTGATGGGCCTGGTCACCTCTTCAGTTCAGTTCAGTTCAGTTGCTCAGTCGCGTCCGACTCTTTGCGACCCCATGAACTGCATCACGCCAGGCTTCCCTGTCCATCACCAAGTCCTGGAGCTTGCTCAAACTCATGTCCATTGAGTGGATGATGCCATCCAACCATCTCATCCTCTGTCGTCCCCTTCTCCTGCCCTCAATCTTTCCCAGCATCAGGGTCTTCTCCAAGGAGTCAGTTATTCGCATCAGGTGGCCAAAGTATTGTAGTTTCAGCTTCAGCATCAATCCGTCCAATGAATATTCAGGACTGATTTCCTTTAGGATGGACTGGTTGGATCTCCTTGCAGTCCAAGGGACTCTCAAGAGTCTTCTCCAACATCACAGTTCCAAAGCATCAATTCTTTGGCACTCACCTTTCTCTAGAGTCCAACTCTCACATCCATACATGACTACTGGAAAAACCATAGCTTTGACTCGATGGACCTTTGTTGGCAAAGTAACGTCTCTGCTTTTTAATATGCTGTCTAGCTTGGTCATAGCTTTTCTTCCAAGGTGCAAGTGTCTTTTAATTTCATGGCTCCCCCAGTTTATCTGGTCTGTAATTTTAGATCCTGTGAAATTAGGTTACCTGGAAGAGGTACATCTAAAACCTGGTGACCTTCCAAAACGTACATACGTGTTTTCTCCTGCCTCTGCACTGTTTTCATCGTTTAGTAAGTTGTCTGAACACTGCATTGTCCTTTTGTGAAGATGGCAGCACATAATTGTGTGTATTAACTGCCACTTTTAAGGGAAAATGGGAAAATTGCATTATGGTCTAATTTTTATTTCTTCTTTATTTCTTCCTTAAGCCTGGCTTGGGTTTGGGTGGGTAATTCTCTGAAATCTCAAAAACAGTGTTTTCTTTTGAAATATGTTGTTTGGAGAGAGGCTTTTAATTTCATCCCTGCCTTTGTCTCTTTAACTGTTTTTAGCTGTGGACGTGGTGGTTTGTTGAGCTCGGAGGTAATCGCATGTTTGCTTAGTTGGGAGAAGGCCAAACCTCTGTTAATTTTTTGTTTCCCTGAGATTGACCGGTAAAAAGTTAGGGTTTATTTTGTTTTGTGTGGTTTTTTTTTTGTTGTTAAAGTATCTTTGGAAATTACAGGATACAGGTTACACAAAGCTCTTAACAAAGCTTGCCTGAAATAAAAGCGGATCTGAGTTTCCGCCAAGCTTACTCCTAAGCCTGTCCTGGCCTTTGCACCTTTTAACACGGTTGCGTCTTGGCTGTTGCTCTTTGCAGGTTCATGAGTGGCATTTTGGACAGGGAGCCTGGTGTGGGAGCCCAGAGCCAGTTTGCTGAACTGCTATCGTCCCAGCCCCACGAGCGTCCGGGAAGATCTGTGGGTGCCCCCCCGTGCCAGCCCAGGGGAGGCAGCCCTGGAAGCCGTTCTCAAGAACTTTTGCCCCAGGTGTAAAAGAATCCAGCCCCGCAAAGATGCTGAAACAGATCCTGTCGGAGATGTACATAGATCCTGATCTGCTGGCAGAGCTGAACGAGGAACAGAAACAGATCCTGTTCTTCAAGATGAGGGAGGAGCAGATCCGCCGCTGGAAAGAAAGAGAAGCAGCGATGGAAAAACAGGAGTCCTTGCCAGTGAAACCCAGACCAAAGAAAGGTAAGCGGAGCTCACTTCTCCCGGGAGCCCACGCTGCAGGCTGCCTCCCCGCTCATTTTCACCTTTCACACTGGTCAGCCGCTAGCCGGGTTCGAGATCCGGTTTGGCAGCCGGACCCTGAGTGTTACTGAGCTTTTCATGGTGCAATTGATCAACCTGAAGTGTCCATGTTTGTGCAAGTACACGTGCACACATGTGCACAAGTACACAGACACACATACGAGCAGCAATACTCTGGAGTGGTGAGGCTGAGAGCAGATGTCTTTCTCGAAACCGACTGACCTTCAGCTGCAGTAAAAAGTCACGTGGAGCTGGACTCGAGGGGCATGCAGGAAGGGTCCACCTCCTCTTGTCCCAGATGTCTGGTATTCTGCTGTGCTGGGCTTAGTCGCTCAGTCGTGTGCAATTTGCAAGCCCGCCAGGTTCCTCTGTCCATGGGGATTCTCCAGGCAAGAATACTGGAGTGAGTAGCCTATCCCTTCTCCAGGGGAGCTTCCCAACCCAGGAATCCAGCCAGGGTCTCCTGCATTGCAGGTGGATCCTTTACCAACTGAGCTACCCCGGAAGCCCCTGGTATTCGGCTACCAGCATGCAAAGTCTTTACATCAGCCTCTCTCTAGAAATGCTGTTTCCATTCTTTAGACTCTGAGAGATGTTTCTTTGAGTTTTCTGTTTTTAGGGACATTCACTTTCAAGATCAAATACTACTAAAAGGAAAAAAGTCATAATGCTAATTTTTTTAGTGTGAGTTCACCTTTCAGATGTACTACCTCTTCCTGGCCCAAGGAATCCCTGATAGCTTGGCCATGTCTTTGGGACAACGGATGAGAAGGAATTCCTTGTACATCAGGGTTAAAGGGTTTACACACAGACACATGGGAAAGCACGTGTTAGCACACACACACACCCCTCCACACACTTTCTGTTATGGACGAATACCTATGTTGTTGGAAAAAAAAAAAAAAACAGTTTTCAAGGTCACTTACGAACGGCATTCAAAGATCAGTTTCTCTTCGTTTTTTATTAAGCCCAGAAAAATAAATTTGATAAAACCATTCAGGGTTTCAAAGATTGAGAAAATTAATCTCCCTTGTATGCTACAGACTCAAAAAGGAAGTCAGTTTAGTGAACTTTTCCTTGCACTGTCTTTTATTAAAACCTTTTTCCAATTAAGGTTTTATAGTGATATGGAAATAAATGTGAGTACTTCATTTATTATTATTATTATTGCCAATAGCAGCTATTTATTAAGCCCCTGTTTTTTCAGACACCATGCAAGGCACTTTTACATACATTACATGTCATCTTCATGATATTTCTCCAAAACAGGTATCAGTGGTCCTGTTTTACACATGCAGAAGTGCAGTAATAAATGCAAGGTCACACCCCAGTTGGTACCCAGGTCTACTGGGCTTCACAGCACTCTGCACTCTCCAAGGACATCCTTGGTTTTCCTTCTAGCGGTAGCATGTCCAAATTGGAGCATAAGCCTGTATCTTTCCAATCTGGCTTCTCCATTTCCTTGCATCCTTTGGTCTGAGTTAACCAAGTATAACGGGGCCTCGTGTTAGTTGTGAACGTGACACGCAGACGTGGTGGGTGACTGTGAAGACTGGGGCCGCAGAAGGGCTCTGTCCCCTGGAATCAGTGGCCTGGAGCTCTTTGAGACACTTTGGGTTTCTCACGTTTGCTGAGTTGGTCTCCTCCTGGTGATGTAAGATGAAGTTCTTTGCTCAAATTCTTCCTTTGCAAGCTGTAGGTTTTCCCCTTTCGCCTCTTCAAATGTATCATGCGACTCCCTTCTGTCCTTCAGAAAAATCAGCTGCTGGCCTTACGGGGCTTCCCTCGTATGTTATTTGTCGCTTCTCCCATGCAGCGTGTTCAGTCGCTTCAGTCGTGTCCGACCCTTTGCGACCCCATGGACTGTAGCTCACCAGGCTCCTCTGTCCCTGGGATTCTCCAGGCCAGAACACTGGAGTGGGTTGCCGTGCCCTCCTCCAGGGCATCTTCCCCACCCAGGGATCAAACCCACGTCTCTCTTGCGTCTCCTGCATTGGCAAGTGGGTTCTTTAATATATCACCACCTGGGAAGGTTTTCCCTTGCTGCTTTTAATATTCTCTATTTTTTGTGATTTTAATTACAGTGAGTCTTGGTATGTTCCTCTTTGGGTTCATCCTGTATGGTAGTGGTCCCCAACCTTTTTGGAAGCAGGGACTGGTTGTAGGGAAGACAGTTTTTCTGCAGATAAGGATGGTGGGGGGTGGTAATGTGAGTGATGGGGAGCAGTTGCAGCCTGGGAGTTGGGGACCCCTGCTGTTTGGAACTATGTGCATTTCCTGGGCTGGGGTGACTATTTCCTTTCTCAGGCTAGGGAAGTTTTCAGTTATTATGGCCTGAAATTCTCAGGCTCTTCTCTGTCTCTTTTTCTCCCGGGCCCCTATAATACTAATATTAGCGCCCTGATGTTGTCCTCGAGGTCTCTTGACCTGCCCTCATTTCTTTTCATCCTTTTTTCTGCTCAGCAGCAGTGGTTTCCATGCCTCCATCTTCCAGCTCACTGATCCACTCTTCTGTATCATTTAGTCTACTATTGATTCCTTCTGGTGTATTTTTCATTTTAGTGATTGTAGTCTCCTTCTCTGTGTGTTCTTTATATTTTCTAACTCTTTGTTTAAAAATTCCAGCTTGTTGCTCTGTGCATACCTGCTGTCCTCCTGAGTTCTTTCCTCATCTTTACGAGCACTGCCCTGAGCTCTTTCTTGGGTGGAAAGCTTATCTCTACTTCATTTAACTCTTCTGGGGTTTTATCATCTTCTTTCATCTGGAACGTGTTCCTCTGCTGCCTCATTTTAAAAAAATTTTTTTTTAAGTTGTTATCTGTATTTTTATGTATGTGGTAGGTTAGTTACATTTCTTGACCTTAAAGAAGGGGCCCCTCTGAAGATGTTCTCTGTGTCTTAGCAGCCCTCACCCCTCTAGACGCTTAAGCCGTACACTCTCCAGATTTTCCCTAAGAGGTCTGCATGGGCCCTTCTGTTGTGGGAGGCTGAGCCTGTGGGCCATCAGCTGGCTTGGCTGGCTCCTCCATCGGTTGATTCTCAGGCCCTGCCTTGTCTGAAGGCCGCTGGCTGTTGGTTAGATGGATCTGGTCACAAAGTGACTGGTTGAGGACTCCTAGGGGGTCCAGGGGCTAGTTGTGCTGGCTCACCGGTAGGTGGAATCAGGGTCCCAAGGACTCCGGGGAGGTTGCCCTACCCATGGACAGGTGAACTGAGGTCCTGGGGGTAGCGCTGGATTATTGGTGGGCAGAGTCGGGTCGTGGCGTCTGGCCACAGGGCCCAGGATCCCAGAACTTATTTCAAATTGTTGGGCGGGGGTGGGTTGGAGGGTAGGGGGCTGGTTCCCGACACAGTTGGGTTTGGCATCTGGGATGTCCTGAAGCTTGTGTTGGCCTCTAGTGGGCAGGCGCTGGGGCCTGGCTGGTCCCTGTCTAGGGCCTGCCCTGCTATGGGGTCTGGATCTGCAGGCTGTGTGATGTTGATGGTAGCTCTCTTGCCTTTGGTGTCTGCCCCTGGTTGGTGAGGCTGGTCTGGAGACCAATGCCGGCTTCCTGGAGGGAAGGGCCAGTGTCTGCCCGCTGGTGTGTGGGGTTAGGTCTTGGCCCTCTGGTGGGCTCGGCAAAGTCCAGAGGCATGTCTGGAGTCAGCTGTGGGCTCAGGAAGTCCTTAGGGCCTGCTCATGGCTGCGGCTGCTGTTCCTACCCAGTTAGTCGTTTGGCCTGAGGCCTCTCAGCACGGGTGACCTGCAGGCTATTGGGTGGGGCCAGGTCTTGGCACTAATGAGCCAAGATGGCAACTGCCAGCAGCCGTGTCCTCACGATAGAAGGTCCCCAAATATGTTTGCCTCCAGGATTCATGGTCTCAGGGTGACCCGTAGTCATCCCCGCCTCCCTGGGAGATGCTCCAAAGCCGACAGGTAGGTCTTGCCCAGACTCCTGTCAAATGACTGCTTTTCACCCTGGGTCCTGGTGTGTGTGAGATTTCGTGTGCGCCCTTTTAAGAGTGAAGTCTCTACTTCCCCCACTCCTGGGGAGCTCCCAAAATTAAACCCCGCTGGCCTGAAGGCAATGGCACCCCACTCCAGTACTCTTGCCTGGAAAATCCCATGGATGGAGGAGCCTGGTAGGCTGCGGTCCATGGGATCGCTAAGAGTCGGACACGACTGAAGTGACTTAGCAGCAGCAGCAGGCTTTCAAAGCCAAATGTTCTGGGGGCTCATCTTCCCAGATGAGTAGGACCCCCGGGCTGGGGAGCCTGACCTGGGGCTCAGAACTCTCACTCCGGTGGGAGAAGCTCCAGTCTGTGGGTCGCCCACCTTGGGGTATCTGTCTCACTGTGGTGTCTGTCTCATCGTGGTTCCTTTTCTATGTTTTTGGTTGGAGAAGATCTTTTCTTGTAGGTTCTGGTCTTTTTCATGGATGGTTTTTCTGCAGATAGTTGTGATTTTGGTGTGCTCAGGAGAGGAGGTGAGCTCAGGGCCTTTCTGCCCCATCATCTTGCCCAGTCTCCTGTTGATTTTTTAATAGGACGGCTAGAAAATGTATAATTACAAGCGGCGCTCCCATTGGACAGCACCGCTCTAGACTTTGTAAACGTGGCCCCAAGCAGTGCTGATTGAGCTGCTGGCGTGTCAGACCCTGAACTCTTAGGTCTATCATCTCATGAAATCATCACAGCCAAGCCTGGAGCTGAGTTACTTTCACATTTCACAGGTGAGGAAAGGGAGACAGAGGGACCTTAACTGACTTGCCCAGGGCAGTAGGACCCTGAGCCTGACTCTCCCGTAGCTGGCACTGTTAACAAACGTTGCCCCTTGTTCAGCCTTCCTGGCGCTTTGAGCTTACCTGGAGCTTGGTAACAGTTGCCGTTGTCTGCAGGAGCCCTGCACACGACTGAACGTGTGCTTGTGTGGGTGTCTTCCCATGGAGCCTTTTTTCCGT